GCTTCTGCAAAATCTGGTTTTCCGACAGAGCCTCACCAGACATCACTCTTCTACAACGTTCCCTCCAAAGCTCCGCCACCACCAGCACCCACAGAAGTCTACCACGATCAGATGAGGTGCAATTTAACCGGAATAGTGATATGGCAGTTGCCAAAGACCCCTCCCAATTTGCCCCCATCACATTCCTTCCTGCAAAAATAGCCTACAACACATGCTGAGAGTAGGAACACTCAAAGAAAAGATGGTCCCTGGACTCTGCCATAGAGGAGCATAGCGGGCAGAGGTTAATCACTGCATTGTTCCATCTCTGTACCTTGTCTAGAGTAGATATTCTGTTCAAGATGATTAACCAGATCTGCCATTGGGTTCTTCTGTAAATACAGATAGTAAGTAGTTAACCATGTAACAGAAGGAACATGACAAGACAAAAAAAATACACTCGGGCAATCAAACCCATTTCATGTCAAACCTTGGCTTTGGCAATGACTTCATCTACTTCTTTCCTAATTTCCTTTTCCATATCCTGAAAGTTATGCGACAGAATCAAATATCCAGTCGCTCTATACCCATATATCTCAAAGTTTACAGGTAAATATAAAGACTACACTGAAAGGTTTTAAATGTGTGTATCCAAGTTAAGTTAGGTTACCTTTAGCTCTTTCTTAGTGGCTACATCGTGACCCAGTACCAACTTCCTAACTCTTTCAATTGGATCACGCTTGAAGATGATCAGTGGAAAGATGGAGAATACATTAGACCATCATAAAAGAGTTGTTCCCAATGGAACATGGACAAATATTTCATCACGGGTGCTGTAGGTGCTATCAGGGTTAGACATGGAGTAACCGTGATACCTGTATGTGTCCATCTCAAGAATCTAGTTCACGCCATAAAAAATAAGTGAGGATGCAATCAATAAAGTGATGGAAATACGAGAAAGCGAAGTAATGAAGTCTACACACAATCACGTCTGAGTAACAACAATAGCATACAACATGTTAGGAATGCCAAAAAAAGTACTTGGCTTAATTACCAGAGCATTGCACACCCATCTAACCAAAACATCTAAAATCTCCATATTGGGGCACAACAAAGGAGCTGAAACAAGGACCCAATCAGCTCAATGTTTAACAAAGTGAATTTCAACAATGAATAATACGCACAACACCAAACCTTCAATATAAAAGAGTTGTGCTCCTCAAGTGGTTAAGAACTAAAGGAAATTACTTTTGCTAAAGCTCTATTAGGGCCTTCTGCAGCTTGCCTAAAATTCCCAAATGTCTCTTTACACACCATCCTCTACGTAACAACCAACTTGTTCCGTTCTAATATTCCCACCTTGTCTGTCTACAAAAATTACTCATCCCACCAAACCACTCTCATCACCCTTCCATGAAGCATCAGAGAAGCAATTTCACTCCATCAGTAGTCCTAAGTCCTTAGATCAATAAGCAGTTTCCAAGTCAGTAATTCATGCCCCAAACTTGCATTCATTTCCAGAAGGTGTTTACTCAACTGGATGAGAACTGCTGCCCGAGCTAGAACTACTAGTTCTTTTCAAAAACCAAAACGCTCTCCTTGATAACATAGTTTCTATACATAACAATGCTTGAATATCAATCAATTCAACCATCAGCCCTCCTTGATAACATAGAAGCGATGATGGGCGACTTCAATGTTGTCGACGCTATCAGCCCTCTTTGTCCGTTTTACTTGGATGGTGAAGAGATGAGAATAGGTGGCGGTTAGGGTTCGATTGTTTGAGAGTGAGAATAATAAGGGTTGTATTTTCTTCTGTTTGTCGGTTCACAAAGGATGCAAATTCATTTTTTTAATATGTAGATGAAAAAAGAGAGAGTTGAGCAGACGAGAACGAAGAGAAGAAGCGAGTGTGCAGCTAGGATTTCTCAGGCCCATCACTTTCCTTTTATACATTCTCTATAAAGACAATTATGTCCCTTGCATTTTCCCAAATCAACAAACCTACCACCATTCTCCCTTTCGGGCGGGTAGGCGACTGATCGCTAAAGTAACCACTACTGCATTGACAGTTCGCAATTAACTGCTAAGTCATGGCGGTTCGACTAGCGATAATAATTTTTTGGTTGGGAGATAACCGCTAACCACATTATCAATTAACGGTTAACTACTAACAAACCCAACTATTACCTGTAATTAAAATACATTATGCTTTGAGATTTGAGTGTACATCACCCAAATTCATTAAAGATGACAAAAATAGCCATAATCGTACATACTCGTATGAATCTGAAACCAAATACGTTTTAGTATTTGGGTGGGTAAATCCAAAACCAAATACGTTTTAGTCCATATGGGTAAAATCCGAATTCAAATATTGCGGGTGATGGGTAGGCATGATTTTCACACTAACAACCCCAACCCGACCAATTATATACGTACATATGTATTTTGTTTAAAATGATCATTATTTTTCTTAACATATTTTATATTTATTATGCACAAATAATATTTCATGAAATTATATTTTTTAACTAATTTTCTTAATTTTAGTAGTTTATAGTTTTAATTTTCATTTATGTAATGTGAGTATACGTGAAATTGTTAACATGTTAGTTGAAGTTATAAAGAGAAATTATTATTCATGGTTATCCGTGGATACCCCAATCCTAAATGTATATGAGTATTGTTGATGTCGGAGTTGTAGTCGACGTCGAGTTTTTTTTATGTTGGGCACCAGAGTCTGTCGACGACCACCTTTCACCTCGAACTTCTCTCGTGATGTCAGCTCCGGTCGTCTACTGCAAAACGGGTCCGTCGGGTGATCTCGGCGGGGACGCTCTTCGATGCTAAAGTTAGCGAGTGTGTTGAGTGGGGAGGAATATTACCTCGAAATGAAAGATGAGGGAATGGTGTTGAGAATGAATATTTGTACTAATCATAGCAAGAGTTCACGAGTCTAGGCATGTGGATTTTTTGCTTACCTCAATATGTAGACGAAGTGACCTTTTATTGAGACCTCCAGGAGAACATGAATGGAGTACGTGACTCCCTCGGGAGCTTGGTGGTGTGGAGAGAGGACACGTCGCGGGGTACGTGACTAAAGGTTCTAAGTGACCTGGGGTGGGCGGAGAGCCCAAGGTGGTCAAGGTGACCCGAGTTGGTTGACCACGCGGGTGACCGGAGTGACCTCGGGGTAGCCTGAGTGACCCCGAGGCAGGCTAGGTGACCCGAGATGATTGACTACGGGGTGGCCGGAGTGATCCTAAGGTGACTCTGGGTGATTGACCCTGGCGGGCTGGAGTGACCCCAAGGTGACCCAGGGTGATTGACCCCGGGTGGTCGGAATGACCTTGGGGTGGGCTCGGTGAGCCAGAGTGATTGACCCCAGCGGCCTGGAGTGATCCTAGGGTGATTGATCCCGGGTGGTTGGAGTGACCTCTGAGGCGGGCTAGGTGACCTGAGGTGATTGACCCTGGGGTTGTCAGGGTGACCCCAAGGTGACTCGGGGGTGAGGTTTGTCTCCGTCCAATAAAATAAAATTAATTAGGGTGGGTCAAACCAGTATGATTTTGATATTCTAACCTGTTTATGTATATGCATTGATATAAATAAAACCCAATTTAATTCAAATTAATCAATGAATATGCGATATCTTATCTCGAACCTAATGTTGCCATCCCTTCCACGAGCAGACTACCCCCTTAATGGCCATCAGGCCATGTAGCTAAACGGCTCGTAGTATTTTTATTTATTCATTTATTTATTTATTTATTTATTTCTGAGTGATATCAAGAGGAAATAGTTATACAAACAAATTTACCCAGGACCCCCTACAATAGAAAAACTAATGAAGTCACCCCAAAAAGTCGAAAAATTCTAGTTCTAGAAGAGACAAAAGCAGTGCTTTACGCGCCACTCTATGGACAACATTGTTTGTGGCTCTAGGGACCGCCCTAAACTCTATACAAATTGACAAAGAATCTAGAATCTGACGACACTCACGAAACACCGGACCACCAATCGAATCTTCTAGAACGCCTTGTCTGACTTATTTAACGACCACTTCAGAATCACCCTCCATTATCACGAGAGATAAGGATATTGAGGCAACGACGAAGATAGTTCTCTGAGAGCTAGAAAAAGTGAAAAGAAAAGAATACCGACAAGTAGGGGTGTACATGGGTTGGGTGGTCCGGGTTTAGGCATTTTAATCACCCGATCCATCCACTACGGTTTGAGAAATATTAAACCCAAACCCATCCAAAAAAATTTAAACCCTACGGTTTGTTTCTAATTGGATTGAGTCGGGTTTAAGATATTTTTAAGTAAAACCCAACTCAACACAAAATATGTAATTATTCTACACCATAAAAATATTTTATAACTAATTAAAAATTCAAACGAATAAACCGAGGTGAAAGGCATCAAAATTCACAAATGTTGTTTGAATTTTAATAAAATTTGATTTACTTCAACTTATGTCTAGTTTTTTTCACGAAATTTGTTGAAATATGCTAAAAATGTTATAAATTAACGCATCCATAATATGTTATTATATTAAAATTGTACACAAGAAAAATGATTACGTGAATCATAGCTATATTAAATTTATGTATAAACTTTAATTCGAAGAATGCATTAGATTATGGAGACCATGAGAGAAAAACATGACGAAATATCTGAATTTTCTCATAAGTATAGCTATATATGTATATGACAAAAAAAAAATTATACGAACTCATACCAATAATTGAAACACGGGTTGAGTCAGGTTCTACGGGTTGTGTAATCCAAAATCCAAACCCAACTCAAAAGAGGCGGGTTGTAAAAAAAAAAATCTCACCAAACCTAAAACCTTCGTTTTAGCGATAAATACGTGTGGGTTGGGTCGGGTTGGACGGATGGGTCGGTTTTGCGGAGTTTGTTCACCCCTACCGGCAAGAGTAAACGGCCCAAAGTACACCGGCAATAGAAGAAAAGAATAAACCCGAAGACTGAAAAAGTGAAAACAATCCGTTAAAGAGGGAAAACACGGCGAGCCTCACTATCCCTCTCTCCCGCCATGAAATCACTCCCTATCCTCTTACCTCTTCAACTTTCTTCTTCACTTTCCCTCCCCTTCATCGTCTCTACTTCATTTCCATACTTCCAACCTCTCTCCCAAACCCTAGCCTTCTGCCGCCCTAGGTTGATCCCCTCGCAATCCTCAAATTCACTCGCTCCACGGCGGCTCCACTCCAAGTCCCCCAACTCTACTTTCCCCGCCGAATCGCAGCTCTACGACGCCGACGACCGAGAAGAAGAGGACGACGATGACGAAGAAGAAGACGACGACGATGATGAGGAAGCTGCCGATGAATACGACTACGACGAGGACGAGGACGACGGAGTCGAACCAAACGAAGATGAAACCGAAGTATCGATGGCGACGGGAGAGATCTCGGCTTGGCGCGAGGAGACGAAGTTGCAGAGAGTCGAGCGCCTCCGTGCTGTAGTCAAAGAGTTCGGGGATGAGATTATTGACGTTGATGAGCTCGCTTCTATCTATGATTTCCGAATCGACAAATTTCAGGTACAGGTAGACGAAATGCCTGCTTTTCTGTGCTCTCTCATAAGTTTAGATTGGAATTCCGGTGCGTAAAACGTTTCGTTCGTGTAGCGGTTAGCTGTAGAAGCATTCTTGAGGGGCTCCTCGGTCGTGGTCTCTGCTCCTACCAGCAGCGGGAAGACGTTGATAGCTGAAGCTGCTGCGGTGGCTACAGTGGCACGAGGAAGGAGGATATTCTATACCACTCCGCTTAAGGCATTGTCCAATCAGAAGTTCCGCGATTTCCGGTTAGTAATTCGAATGCAAATTTGCTTCGGTCATAGAGGAAATTATGGATGAAACTGGTGAGTAGATGTTTATATGTTGTGGCAATTGATTGATAGGGAGACGTTTGGAGATGACAATGTCGGTCTTCTCACTGGAGATTCTGCTGTCAATAAAGATGCTCAGATTTTGATCATGACTACAGAAATTCTGCGTAATATGCTGTACCAAAGGTATAACTTAGTTCGTGTCTGGATGCTGTTTGCTGTAGCATTGATTTAATTTTCTGAATTTCGTAATATTCTTTTGTGCATTGCTCAAGGTGTTGTGTAAATCATGGACTCAGGGTGCTATATCTAATCATGCAGCATTGGGACAGTTTCTTCGGGTAGTGGACTCCTCTTTGTGGACGTGATTGTCCTAGATGAAGTTCATTATCTAAGTGATATATCTCGAGGAACAGTGTGGGAGGAGATTGTAAGTATGTACTCATGTAGTAGGTTTTTTATTGCCAAAAGCTGCAATCCCCGTAGCTTGGTGATTGATTTTGCGGGTGATTATGTCAGGTTATTTACTGCCCTAAGGAGGTTCAGTTGATATGTCTGTCAGCAACTGTAAAGAATCCAGATGAGCTCGCTGGTTGGATACGTGAGGTAAATTTTATATTGTTGAATGTCGCTAACATTTTTGCCAAAACCAAGTTGCACAGTTGTCTCTCAATGACTGTTAAGCTGTAATAAAACTGTGGTGAATCCTGTTAGTTTTGGGCCTGATTTGGTGTCTCGATTATTTTCTACGCACTTTTGTTGCTATAGGTGCACGGAGAAACTGAATTGGTGACATCTGCCAGACGTCCAGTTCCACTAACTTGGCATTTCTCTACAAAGACTTCTCTGCTACCTCTTCTTGACGAGAAAGACAAAGGAAAGCGCATGAACAGGTGGGCTGCAAACATCCTGCTCTATTAACTCACATCTGCTAATGATTCTGTGTCTTTACTAAAGCATTGTTTCTAAATTTGGAACAGGAAATTATCCCTTAATTACTTGCAGCTTTCTGCCCCAGGATCTAGATCATATAAAGATGATGAGTGGCCAAGGAGAAGGAATCCAAGAAAACGTAGAGGTCGAAACGATTATGATAGCAATCTCATGAATCCTGAAGAGTCCCTTTCAAAAAATGATATAAGCAGAATCCGACGCTCATTGGTAAGAACTTCTCTGATCTCATTATAGCATGACTATGCTTTGCTTTAGGAATACGATTTCGTGTTAGAAGGCTTTGACCAGCTGAATAACTTATGTGTGGTTTAGGTCCCTCTTGTCGTTGACACATTAGGTCAGCTCAGGGCGAGAGATATGCTGCCAGCAATCTGGTTCATCTTCAACCGAAGAGGATGTGATGCTTCTGTGAAGTATCTTGAAGGTTGCAAGCTCTTGGATGAATGTGAAACGACTGAGGTTGAACTTGCTCTCAAGAAGTTTACTCTTCAGAATCCTGATGCCGTCCGTGAGACTGCCATCAGAGGACTTCGAAGAGGAATTGCTGCTCATCATGCTGGCTGTCTACCTTTGTGGAAATCATTCATCGAGGAATTGTTCCAGAGAGGACTCATTAAGGTCATCTTTGCTACGGAAACCTTAGCTGCTGGGATCAACATGCCTGCCAGAACAGCTGTCATCTCATCCATCAGTAAGAGGAATGCCAGTGGTCGTATTCAGTTAAGCCCAAATGAGCTGCTTCAAATGGCTGGCCGGGCTGGACGGAGAGGCATTGACGAAAAGGGCAATGTCGTCCTGATTCAAAGCTCCACTGAAGGCGCTGAAGAAGCCTGCAAACTTCTGTTTGCTGGACTAGAACCACTTGTTTCACAGTTCACTGCTTCCTATGGGATGGTTCTGAACTTGCTTGCTGGTTCTAGAGTCACTCGTAGACTGAACGAGTCTGGTGACACAGAGCCTCTCCAGGCAGGGAGAACTTTAGAGGAAGCGAAGAAACTGGTGGAGAGAAGTTTCGGAACGTACATTGGTAGCAACGTCATGGTTGCTTCCAAAGAGGAGCTCTCGAGAATCCAGAAAGAGATTGAGATTTTGACGTCAGAAATTAGCGACGAGGCAGTAGATAGAAGGAGCCGCCAGATCTTACCAGAGTGGGCATATAAAGAAATCGTACTACTTCAGGAACAGCTGAGAGAAGAAAAACGCCTTCGGACTGAACTAAGAAGAGTGGTGGAAGTACAAAGATTGAATGCGCTAAAAAGTCTCCTCGCGGAAATGGGAAATGACCAGTTACTCTTTTTGTGCTTACATTACAAAGACTCGGATGGAGTTGAACATTCTGTTCCTGCTGTTTACTTGGGGAAGGCCGATTCCTTCAGTAGCTCGAAGCTAATGGACTTGGTTTCTGTCGACGATTCGGTTCCTGTACCCAGCGAGTTAAGTGATGCTGATGCCGACGAAGAAGAAACTCCTGACGTGATGGAACCGTCTTATCATTTAGCATTGGGGTCGGACAATTCATGGTATCTCTTCACAGAGAAATGGATCAGAACTGTTTACAGGACTGGCTTCCCCAACGTTCCATTGGCACAAGGCGACGCTTTGCCCCGAGAAGCCATGTGGATGCTTCTGGAAAAAGAGGAGAAGCAATGGGAAAAGATAGCTGATTCTGAACTGGGGGGATTGTGGTTCTCAGAAGGATCTCTGGAAACATGGTCATGGAGCTTAAACGTCCCCGTTCTAACCAGTCTGTCCGAGAACGACGAGATACTGCACAAGTCACAAGCTTACCACGATGCCGTGGTGCAGTACAAGGACCAACGTAACAAGGTGGCGAGGTTGAAGAAAAGAATATCGAGAACAGAAGGATTCAGAGAGTACAAAAAGATCCTGGAACGGAAGAACGCGACACAGGACAAGATCAAGCGTCTGAAGATGAGGTCAGCCAGGTTGTCAGAAAGGATCAGGGAGATCGAACCGTCAGGATGGAAAGAGTTCCTGAAGATATGCAACGTGGTGCACGAGCTCAGGGCATTGGACATAAACACACAGATGATCTTCCCACTGGGGGAGACTGCAGCGGTGATTCGTGGGGAGAACGAGCTGTGGCTGGCAATGGTGGTTCGGAATAGGATCCTACTGGACCTGAAGCCGTCGCAGCTGGCAGGGGTGTGTGCGAGCGTGGTCTCCGAAGGGATCAAAGTGCGCGTCCACGAGAACAGCAGCTACATCTACGAGCCCTCAAGCGTGGTGATTCGCGTGGTGGGAGCGCTGGAGGAGCAGAGGAGTCGGTTTGTGAAGATTCAGGAGAGGCACGGGGTGGGGATTTCTTGCTTCTTGGACAGCCAGTTTGCCGGGATGGTGGAGGCGTGGGCTTCTGGGTTAAGCTGGAGGGAGATGACGATGGATTGCGCCATGGACGATGGGGATCTAGCGAGGCTTTTGAGGAGGACGGTCGACTTGCTGGCGCAGATTCCCAAGTTGCCTGATGTCGACCCGGCTCTGAAGAGCAATGCCAAGTCTGCTGCAGATATCATGGATCGTTCTCCCATCAGTGAACTTGCTGGATGAAAGTCTTCCTTCACAAAATTGTTTCCCCAAGTTGGGTTTTGTTCTGCTTGTCAGTGCCAATCCGCATCCGATTCTTTGATCATGAATTTTATCACCCGAATTAATATTTAGACCGAATCAGTTCGAATTGATACAATGTTGTTCAATCCTCGATCCTCATAACTATTGAACCGGCTGTACTCTGCGATTTGTAATGGTACACCCGTGACAAAAGCAAGCATGGCCTGGCTGAACTGAGGCGTGGGAACGTTAGAGAAAAATGAATGATAAATGAGATGAACAATACATCATGAATGTCTATCTGATGAAGGGATATCTATCTCCAGGTATTACATGATCACATTCTTCTTTACCTTCTCTATGTACAAAAACTTAAGAGAAGAAGAAAGAAAAGCATTTTGATGGCTCAAAATGCTTTGGCCTTCTAACGTACAAAAGCTATACTACATTTCAATCACGCAGCCCCATCACCTTGCCAGCTGCTGCTAGTCTGCTACTGCCTTTTCCTCTTCTAATTGGCTTTTTTATTTCGCCCTTCCCTCGACAGGGAAGAAGACCCAACGAAATTTCTGAGAAGTACGTGCATCCCTCTGCTGCCTGACTGTCGCATTCGTTTCATCCGATGCCCGCCGCTAGTTGCACGTAAAACTCATCCCAAAATAAAAATGCAGTGTTCTGCCAGCGCCGTAACGAAAAATGAGATCACTACAACAAATATATAACCTGTTTTCTTCATCTTTTCTTGCTCTAAAAGGAAAGCTGAGCGGATAAGAAAGACAGACAGCTCGGGATGTACCTTATCAGGACGTTAAAGAAGGGGGAACCATGAGTAGAGTATCATGTACTATGACCTAGATAGCCACCTCTGGAACCGCTCTAGTCTTTCGCAGCTCTTTCCTTGATTACTGACGGATGACGAGCAGTTCTGTGGGAGGGTTCTCCTTCCTTTTCTTCTCGTCCGGAACAAATAATCTTCCGTGTCTAAGACATAAGATACCTGGAGCATTTGGGAAGATCGGGGAAATGGAAATGTATTACTACAAGGACAATACCAATTCGTTGTCAAAAAAAAAAAAGACAATACCAATTCCATTCTAATACGAGATGATGACTAGGATATGAATTCAATGGAGAAATGCTGTTCTGCTACCTTGGAAGAACTGCAAGCAATCTTGCACTCTAAACCGTTGAAAATCTGAAATCCTTCCATGGCTTGAAATTCATCAACAACGGCATTCCTACGTCTGTTCCTGCTAAAAATTATAAAATCAAGGGGTACGATTATCAAGCATTTTGGCACAATTAAAGCACAGGAAAACAAAAGGAATAGAGTTGCCATGGCTTTACCTCTTCAAGAAAATCCCAGGTTTCTCTTTCTTCTCTGAAACAACAGAGAGGAAGTCACTCTGGAGGTACGCAGCGAAGTTTGGATCCATAGAAACTGCAGTCACCTCAGGCTTGTCATGTACAAAGTCCATCAGCTGAATGGACAACCGGGTTGGTCCCGAAGACTACAATGTGGTACCAAATAAGCCCAATCAAAATTGAATCATTAAGTTCACACGTTTAGGGGGGGAAAGTACAAACTGAAGAAATAACAATTTACAAACTAAGGGATTAAAGACTCACGCATTGAACTCTATATATATTCTCGTCATGAAGGAGGACACGTGTGTTCTCATGATAAACTATGTCAACAAACCTTCCAGCTTTTCTCGACTCTTCATAAGCATATAACTGCAGTAGCTTGTTGTCCATCTCATCAGTTGCCACTGTTTGGAGCTGGGAGGAAATTGGCCAAAGGTGTGAAACTTGGAAATAACAGGAAAGGAAAAAAGGATACACAAAAAAGCCACCAATCATTTACCTGTTTGACTAGCTTATATATAAGCTTATCCAATGTAAATAAGACATATGACTGTGTCCCAATTATAGCTCGGCAGTCATCCTCAAATTTTGTGTTGTCGGAAGATCCGTCAAGAAGGTTGTAAAGTGCACTCATAAACCTGTCAAGATGCAGGCCAGATTAATAAAACACCAAAGTTTGTTTAGCTGAAAACCATAAATGAGAACTCTCTTCGGATTGGACTAACCTAGCATACAGATCGGTGGAACTTGTATCATTTGAAGCTGCTCGCCATTTCCTGTCAGCAGATGATGAGTTGATCTTCGCTGATTGTATCCTTTCATACAAAGTCTGGTGAACAACACAATAGAGTTGTTAATAAAAGTAATAAATGCATTCATGAATACACCTTATACATAAACAAAGATGGAATAATAACTTACTTGGTGAAGTCTAAAAAGCACATAAAACGAATCATTCCCATAGAAAACTCGTGAACCCTTCTCTCCATCATGCAATGCCAGAGGGACGTGCTTTGCTAGAGGTTTCACATTGAAGAGGAATCTTTCTGAAAATGGTAAAACTGTTGTTCCATCTCCCTCCACATCATGAGCATCAGCCATGCCTTCGGCCTCGCCTTCACTCTCGGCTTTATTATTATTTTCATCATCGTGATCCCCATCTTCTTCTTCATGCTCTTCTTCCCTGGAGCACTCTTCACCATCACCAGACTCACTCCCGGAGACATCAGCAGCATTTTCAGAGGCATTTTCACTGTCCTCTGATGTCCTTTGAGCACTTTCCTCACCTTCATCATCAGCATCATTTTCTACTGCTGCTTCTCCATTCCGCTTTTCATCTTCTTCCCCGTTGGTTTGTCCTTGATAATGCCTGCTGCTGCTTGGAGCACCACCCTCTTTAGTATGTTTATTTGCAGCACTAACAGCCTCTGAACCAGCTTCTCCATAGACTGCGGCAAAATTATCCTCCTCAAAATCTCCTCCATTTGGAGACAACTCTCCTTCCTCTCTTTCAATTTTGAACTGAGTATTTGATTCTTCATTGTATCTGTGACCTTTACTACCCTCCGTCACAACCCCATTTGCTGATACGACTGGCCTAGGAAGCTCACAAGGCTGAAGAGGAACAAGTGCATTCACATACGGATTTGATCAGAAACAAAAAAACAATGGTAATACACTAATACTACCAACACACCCACGATCCAGTACTATTTCCCAAACATACGGGAATTTTACCGGGTCATGCAAGTCAGTTTGTGAAGAATGCAACAGCAAACTAAAACAGTAGAGATAAGCTCAAACAACAAAAAGAACATACCTCTGTTGGTGGCAAAACTTCTTTACTGGAACCTACTGCAATCCCATCATCACTGGCGACAACATTAATTGGTTTTGAGGAAGCACCAGCAGGACCTGAAAAGCATATCTCAAATATCAGAGGCCAAATTATCCAACTACAGAAGAAGATAATCTATAGGAGACGAAGCAAATATTTGTCAAACCTGATTCAAGATTGGCTCTTCCATTACTCAACTCCGCGACTGTAGCAAGTGAAGGACTTGAATTGGCCAACCGTTCGGCAGAAGTAGCATGCTTACCAGCCCCTGAAGACTCGTCAGCTGCAGATGGAGCAATCTGTAACTTACTATCATGCTGAAGGGTACTGCAGGAAGTATCATTTTTACAAGCAGTATGGTTGGTGGTGGCAGGAGAACCATTTTCTTTAACTCCATTATCCAACCAGACCTTGGTCGAACTTGACTGCTGCTCAGGCTGGATACGTTCTTCTCCATTTCTTGAAGGATTAACTATGTGTTTTGAGCTGCCCAAGGTAGCACCACCGCTGGGGCTTCCATCACTTTCTCCGTGCTTGAAAGAAAGAGTCTTTGCCTTCATGACATCTTCAGTGTCATCTGCTGCACCATGAGGTCGAGAAGGAACACCAAGCATTGGTTCTAAGAAAGTGGTCCAGATCTTCATGACCTTATCCAGCTGTTCAGTTGTACAAACTTCCCCACAAGAGTACTTGATGAGCTGATACAGATCCTCATGGACATCAGGATCGGAATACTCAAATTCCAGATTAGGTACAATTGGACGCTTGTTTCCGGCAGCAAATGCTAGCAGCATGTCATCATCTTTGCGTTTGTTCTCGCTAATTTCTTTTATCTCTGCCAAAAGCGCTGTAGAGAACACCGAAGGTTAATTATTCGAACACATGATAATCAATCCATACTCTTTAAGACAAGTCTTCTGTTGCATTTCTGGAAAACAATAAGCCACTGATAGTATGTCAACTAAGTAGCTGACAAAATGAAAGCATGGTAGAGCTTCAGTTATTTGTTGAACATGTAGCCCATAATGCTTTCGAAGTCCATTAAATTTGTTCTTTCTTGTGCATCAAGGAATGCTAAAAGTCAGATATGCTATAATTGTGGCAGGAAGGCAGAAGTCAGTAGGTCTAAATTCCAACTTCAGAAAAGGAATTGGTTTCTTAAAGTCCCAAGTTACAAACAGGGAACGAATTAAGCAGACGGATAATTGCTTGTTCCAGCACAAAAGGGATTTAGTTCTTAAAGTCTCAAAGGATCATATATCTCTATTAAATCCCAGCTCTTGAGCACATTATGCCTAAAAAAAAAAACCTTGCAGAATAATTATTTTAGTATTTTGCCCATGACTGGCACATTTTCTGAGCAACTAACCAGTCAAATCTTCTTCAATTAATGACTAGCAGGATATATGAATCAAAAGCAGGAAGGAAAAAAAGGAAGGTGAATGAGTATTATCATGTCGAATTTGGTTTCACATGATACCTCACTACCACTCAAAGTATCATTAATAAGATTGTAGAAAACCTACATACTATTACCATAATTGATGATTTTGGAAAAAATTAAAAATGTGAACTAAAAAGAAGAAATTCCATCATTGCAACTCTTAAAAACAACCAAATTACCTTTGGTGCTCAAGCTCTTTGTATCCTGCTGCTTGAAATAGAAGCTCCTATGATCAAGTGACTTGTGATAGTTCTTAGAGTAGATTTCAGCCCATACTTTGTTGAAATCTGCACGACATCTAGCCCACTCTTCTTGTTTCTGCTTCAAACGAGTTAATATCACAGGCAGAGCTGGAGAAGTGTTCTTTCTTAATACGTCCATTACATCAAGTCCATGGTCGCCGTATAAACGCTCAATGCACCTCAGATTTAGAGCTAAAATAACAGAGCAAAAGCCCATAAGAGTGTAAACAAAAAGAAAACTCAACAAGATTAAGACCGACAACAGATTCCAAAAAATCATCAGGAATAACCAACCTGTTAGGTGTTTCTCTAGACAAATGGGAGCATCTTCTTTGTTTGAGTTGTTGATTTTCTCCAGCAACTCTTCGACACGCTTGGTTGTGACATTGACAGATTCCAACAACATATCCAGCTCAAACCTACAAAGAATGAAGGCCCTTAATAATCTGAAATGCTAACCAAAAGTAGAAATCACCAACTCAAAATTGGCATAAAAAGATAACAAAGTTATCAACATAGATATTGAAGACTTTTGCTGGAGAGGAAACATCTGTGAAAACATGTTTGCAAAGAAACTGCCTACTAGGATTCATGAAAATGAAACTGTATACACATCCTTAGCATTTGTGACATGAGCTGGAAGGACCAACCTGTCATCCTCACATCGGAATAGGCTTTCTTCGTACTGGTTCTTGCGCATGTGCTTAAATGAGTAATCTTCACTCCCAGAAGTCACGGATACCCAATGGTCATTCAGAACTTCAGCGCCAATCCCTTTCTTTGCGCTTGCCACAGGAATGGGATACTGAATAGGCAAAACCAGATCGTATCAACATCTTCATATAAGGTCATATCCACAATCAAACATAATAGGTTACATACATTCTTTGGAAGAAGCCGATAACTTGGAGTGCAGCTGTCACAGTTAGACAGGTCCAGTTCGCTGACAGGTTTCCACAGAAACTTGTCCTTGCTAGAATACAAGGGCATCTTTTGAGCTCCTGTGTCCTTATTGATAAAGGCTGCATTTTTGTCAAGTCTATCTCTTTCCCGCATTTCACGGTCCCTTTCTTTGGTCCCATCATCCCTCTCGAGCACACGATCTCTGTCCCTGTCCTCTGCCTTCAAAGGTCTAGGGAAATTACCTTCATTCAAAAAGGGTTGGGGAAAATTAGTCAGCAAGAACGCTACTCTAGATATATGCACCCAGCTTTACCAGACACTAGGAGACAAAACAATTGTTCCCTTCAGTAACGACCTAAAGCAAAAGCCCCCTCTTTCCAGAGAAACATTGGCAAACATGTCACAAATATCCCCCATCCCGTATTAATTCAGTTAGGTTAGAAAAGTCATCAAGTTCTTAGTCCACAAGATCAACAGAAGATTCAAATCAAGCTGTTGGGATCTTCAAGCAAACCAACAAAGTAAAAGCATCGTGTGAACATTTAGTTACACTTTGCTATGACTGAATTCAAGCATGAACATTACTAGAAGATATGATCAGCAAACAAGAACCTAAGCAGCATTTAACAAGAGGATCCTCATCAAATTTTATCAAAACTTACTTTTTCTCACAACGCCAGCAAGTAGGCCCTCTGCAAAACAGATCTCTATTAGACAATGGGCCAAACATTTTAAGGGAACATGCCACAGCAGATGCTAGAAAATTACCATTCTTTTCACAACGTGACAAAAAGTCATTGAAGCCATCCATAAGATCAGGATATCTTCCAATTAAATCTGCCACCTGACATAAGCAGAGCTTCCATGTCATGGTTTTGTTTGAACGAAAGGTGGATTAATTGCATTCAGGGATAAAAGGATTATAACTCCTGTAACATTAAACACATGTTGGTGAACAATATGCACATGCTGATCCTACTTGTTCTCAGCGAGTTGCCAAGTTAAGCACCAAAAACGAGTAAAAGCAGTACAGATGCAGGAATGTTTGGCTCAAATTGGACCTAAGAGAAACCATTAGACTCAGGATCAGGCAATCATAAGTTAACAAAAAGCATGTCCGTTTCTAGGACTAATCTCCGTGAAGGCCCAAACACTAAATTCTCCAACTATAAAAACAAAACAGGAATCAAGGTTCTCGTAATAATGCAAAGAAGAAATAAAAGTACAAATATACTTTTCTTGATTGCTATGGATTCAGGAAGCAACAATGTAAAGAAAGCCATACCAAAGATTGTAACTCTGGTGGAGTGATGATTTCTTCTGTGTAAAGATGGAGGCACCTCAAAAATTCCTGGTAAGCATCAGGATTACGCAACTTCTCTTTCACTTTCTCACAGAAAGCAAGTTCTTGGCTCAATGCACCTGCATTGTGATAGAAAAGACATACAATTGGAAAAATCACAAACCATCGTGAATGTTAGCTAAAATGAAGCACGAGTAAGTCCACAAAGTTCAGAAATATACAGTTTTGCACTCACTTTTAACCGCACTTTTATCATCATAATTGGATGAAATGGGATGCATTCCATAGTTATCATCCCCCATTCCAACTTGGTGCTCAGCACCAGAATCTTCCAACTTACGACCAGGTTTCCGCTTGTGAGGAAACCGTTGCATGCTATAGTCATGATTTGCATCATGCTCATAGTCTCTATCATCACGTTCTCTCTTATCTCTATCTTCTCTTCTATCTTTTTCTTTTTCAACTCGCCTCCTTTGCTCTCTATCTGCTGCTCTCACCAGAGCCCTATCATGGTCTGGATCAGGGCGATCAACACTGAAATCACGATCGGGATGAGTGCGTTCTTTCTGACAGAAAACCAAAAAGAAAAAGTAAAGGTTACTTTCATGAATGATTTGAGTCCACTAGGATGAAAAAGGAGTAAAATGAAGACAAAACCTTGTCAACATGCATTTGACGCATCGCAGGCATTGCAGAGCTCCTATCACGAAGAATGGAGTTCCTATTCGAAGAGACATAATGAGCAGAGGCTGAAGCAGAATTATCAGGTAGGAAGTGAGTAAACTCCCGAAGCAGATCATGGTGGTCTTTAAAAAGTGTAGCCACCTGCAATAGGAGAAATCCAAAGAAAGAGAAATGACACTTGTTCTATTATATTCATCATATTATGAAAAACAATTGAGTGCCTCAAATGAACATGATATACCTCCTCGTAAACCTCCGTGATGGATTTATTATCCTTTCTGTACATGTTCAGAATATCTAAAAAAGCTTTGTAAACGTGATCGTCACCTTGAAACCTCATCTGCATAAGCATACCAGATAATGTTATCGTCTCCTGAATGACTAAGTAGACTACATATGTGCAATGGGAAACACATCTACCTTAATTTTGTTGACAAAACTAATTGCTTCTTCAAATTCCACTGGCTTCTTCTGTGGAAGTTGCTCGTCTTCCAGTGGAAGTGTGATCTCATATCCCTTAGGCAAGAAGGTATTAAAACCCAAAATCAGGTCACGATGCCCTTTGAATAAGTCCTTCACCCTTCCTATGACGCCAGCAGTGTCAATTCTATAGCAGAAAACAATAGTCAGAATCTTGATGGCCTCGCATATTAATTAAATTTAGGTCAGCAACAGCATAGAGATCTACAATCCTAATTGAGATCGGACCTTTGAGCTTTGAAATCTTTCATAACCTCAAGAAAATCATCATATTTGTCCCGTTTGTCCTGAAATATCTCCTTTACAGCCTTGAGATAAGCCAGTGCATCATTCGTGGTAAGCTTCTGCGCTGCACCTCCTGCTGCTGCTGCTGCTGCTGATGCTCCACCACCTCCTCCAGCACCCCCAGCTACTGCTGCTCCAACTCCTCCCAGCATCTGAGGGTGCCCCGAACTTCAATCAACAAAGGTTTACACACAACATAAGTAATTAAATACCCAACTTCAAATTGCATCCGAATAACATTACTGACTCAAAGACAGATTAGATGTCACATTATTCTCTCAACAAATAACACGGACCCTTCCAAATTCATGCAGTACACCGCCAGTCAGAACAATGGCTCCTGAAACCTTGATTCAACAAGATGAAACACGAAACAGAAATTTCTAACCAAGTGAAGGAAATTAAAAAAAAGCAGCAGATGCACCTAAAACCCATCTGTAGATGGTAACCTAGAGAGCACAATCCCAGTTAGCACAACATGCTCCGATGTCTCATCATCATATGATGGAAACAAACAGTAATCACCCAAGATTTGGATTGGAAAGAAAAAGTCACAGGAAGAGATAAAATTTAGTACGTTTCTCCTCTGGACGGGATCATGGGCCGTTTAAGCTGCGAGGCCATATGGACCTCATCTCTTGACCTCTTCATCGCACCCGCAAAGCACAGGCAGACGCCACCGAGAAACGAAAAGGTTCTCCCTTTCCCCTCAGCAGCTACTCATAACTTCGGAAAACACCTGCAAATCCAAGCAAAACCCGCTCATTACCACAAGCGAAGCAGATCTAACCCCTGCCGAACTCAAACAATCTACAATTTCATAAAACGAGAGAAATTCATAATAGAACTAAAAAATTTCAACTCGCAGATCACCTCCTCAGAAAAGGAAACCCTCAGACAATCCCAAACCGAACTCACAGAACAAGTCTAGAGCACCACCAAGAGAGGCTTCAAAAAAATCGCCATTACTTGAACACAAAGTTAACACGACAGGCAATTCGAAATTTTGCAGTAAAACACCATAGCCGTAGCAAGAAGAGAGAATTGAAACGCGGAGATATCCAACAGCAGACAGTCATAGATAGAGGAAGAGAAGAGATCGCCGATTATTCAAGTCCCTCGTCCAATTTAGCCACACACAAAAAAAAAAAAAACCCCCCGAGACGACTTCAAACTCACAAACTACAACGGCCATGGCCATAGCCGCGCATACAGAAAATGGAACCGCGCAAATGGAGATGCGCGTTTCAGCGGCAATTATCCCACAGCAACAGAAGTCTGCAGGGAATTTTACACCAGGAACAAACCTTCCGAATGAATTGAAGCAGCCCTTTGCTCTCCAAATTTTCCTCTTCCTACCAAATTCCCTCTTCCTTCCCTTACTCTGTCGAATTCTTCCCGTCTGGTTTCTGATTCGTGCAATTTGGTTCTTCTTCTTCTGAGAGAGGGAGAGCGGATGCGAATGTAGAGAGTTTAGATTGTTTTTGTGAGAGAGAAAGGAAAGAGAAGAGGGAGAGGCAGATATATATCATATGCGAGGGGGAAAGAAAAGGAAGACGCGAAGGGGAAAAAGCAAATACACAAACACTTCATGCAATGGAAGAGAAGAGATGTGGCGAAAACTATTTTATTTTATTTATTAATAATAAAAAGGGTGAAAACTGGAAAAGGTAAATTTGCAATTTGCAATTTGACAGTGGGGACTGGGGAGATTAGAGAGAGTAGTGGCCATGAATGGACGGCCGTTTGACGCAAACATTAGGTTAGGGTTTTCACTGCCCCTAAACTATTTTTTATGTACTTATTTTACCCCGTTATTGTTAGATTTATTGCTTTAGGGATAGCAGGGAAGACATGGCCATAGGCTAGTCTGCTAACTTAATGGTTAAAACTCAAAAAGAATTTTGGTGAGTAAAGAAAGGTTCGACAAATAATTTTGTATCCAGTCCACTAATCCAATTAATCATTAAAATTTTCAACTAATTCAATCCATTTAATTCAAAATTAATTGAATTGGTTCATGGATTTGATTCATCGAAAGAAATTAAAATTTAGTATTCATTTTTTTGTAGTTTATTGTTGGATACCTAAATTTTAAATTGTTAACATAAAATATCATTGAAAATTTACTTTTTGGTGTCTAATTTTTTTTTTTTTGCTATGACAATTTAGCACCTGCAAGTTTTGAAATTTACATATTGGTGCAATGTTTAGATACCACTTGGATTCATGACTCCAATCCACCAATTCATTTTATCCAATCCACTAATTCATATTATCCAAATCCATGAATCCAATCCCTTTGCCACCACTATTAGAAATTTATATGCATGATTGATGTGATTAGAGATGCCGAAAATACTCGTAATTCAGGATATCCGTCCAAATCCAACCCGATTGGGTAGGATAAAATTCTATCAAAATAGAACACATGTTAATATGGGTAATATAACCCCAATATCATGGGTAATGGGCATTTACTCATTATCCAACCTGAACTAGCCTTGCTTATCACATATTCGTTATTTCTATTATATTTGTAGTATCTCATAAACTAGTGTTTCTTTTTTACTATTTTTCTTGGTATTGGTGATTTGTTATTTATAATTTTTCAATATTAATATATTTCTCATTAGTAACAAAATAGTTGAGAAGATAAAGAAAAAATAGATATCAATGAATACCTGAAACTCATAAGGTGTGAGCATGGTTTTATTTTCTACTCAAATATTGCACGGGTATGGATATAGATAACCTGAACTAGTTAGAGTAGAGTGATGGATAGTCAATATCTATCCCCGATCCAACCCGTTGCTATCCCCAATTGTGATGTAGTAAAATGGTAATTTCATAGTTTTTGTTTGGTTTGTCAACTTGTTGACTCATGAAAACGAAAAGTTATTTCTTGAATTCACAATATTGTACCTCGCAATCGAGCTCTCTTATTCTCCTCATATAGTTTATGTGTGTAACTCACCACGCTACTGACATCAACAGCGGTGCTGGTCGTCACTCATGTCCTATTGCCTATTGAGATTGTAGTCGATACGAAGGTTTCCATAATCTCCCAGAGGGATTGCGTCCAAATCACCGAGGTTCTGAACTTTCTGCTGGGTGTCCTCTTTCTATCTCCGGTGAGTGCCCATAGTCATCAGCTCCCTCCTGCTATTGGCTCGATCACTGGTAAAATCCATTCGAAGCATGCTAATGGCAAGGAGATGGTGGGTACCGTCGCCGGAATTTGACCGTTTTTGTTTCTGATTCCTACATTAACTCTTCCTTTTGGCAGCCATTGTTGCTCGTTAATGGGCTTAAAGAGGAGATAGATTCCCTCTAAAACGGTAAGTACCGTTAAAGGGGATCCTAATACTGCTATTAAATAGTGATAATGGGCTCATATCAGCCCAACGGATACAATTATGTTGTTGGGATCATGTTTATGAAACATTAAATTAGAAGGGTTTTTTCGAACCAAAAAATATAAAGAATTTTTTTAATTAATCTAGGAACAACGATTATTATAGTGTCTAAAGGCTCTCATTCGGTAACAAAAGTCTTGGCTCACATTATTGATCTTCCTGAGTGGAAAATAACGTGGACCATCCAGACTCCTTCAAAATTGAGGTTTTTCATTTTGACAGTGTTTTCAAGTGGCTCTTCCGACAACGGTAGCGCTCAGATCTCATGAAGTTAATTATTTAAGGCGATGCCCTGTTTGCTGGAGGTTCCGAGAGAGTATGGAACATGTGTTCTTTCATTGCCCCCTTACCAATATGTTATGGTATTTTGTGGGATTAAGTGAGATGTTGATTTCGACCCCAACAATGAATTTTAGTGTGTGGTGGCATCAAGTTATGCTATTAGAGCAGTCCCAAACCCATATTCTCCAACTCGTATGCCTCTTGTAGAGAATATGAAAAACAATAAATAAAATGGTTTTTGAAAATAACCAACCTCATGTCCGTTCGCTTTCCCGCCAGTTCTCGTCTCAAGTCTGTGAAGTGCTCACCTCTTTGCCGCTTGCCTCTTCTATCCATCCTCATTTGCCTATGTCTTCAAGCCATCTCTAAGAGAGCCCACTCAAGATTATATGAAGATCTATTTTGACGCTGCTGTCCAAGCTTTGGTTGCTCGTCTGGCCTTGTGGTTCGTGGCTTGGACAGGCATGTGTTGCTTGCCTCGGGTTTCCAGCATCAAGGGATCTCGGACCCGTACCTTGCAGAGTTCCTTGCAGCTAGGGATGCGATCTCGCTTACAACTTCTAGGAGTTTGACTTGTGTCATCATCGAGGGCGATGCAAAAGTGATCATTCGTCAACTCAGCCTTGGTGCAGTGGAGGATTCTGTTGCTGGTCCTCTCTTACGAGATTGTTTGCTTTTTCTTGAGTCTGTCTTATTGTATAGATTTAGGGCGGCTCTGCGGACTGTCAACTGAGCTGCCCATAGAGTGGCACGTTAAGCTCTGTTAACTGCTTTTGACTTTGTAGGTTGGCTTGTTAGTGGGGTGGGGAGGGAATGTGGGTAGTTCTTGTTATAACTATCTTCCTAATCATACTCGGACAAAAAAAAATAATTCAATCAACGCTCAAATCATAAGTTTAATATTGGGTTTATAATTAACAAAAGTATAAGTAACAATAACTCGAACACAAAATTAACGATTATAACAGTGTCATGAACTATGCTTATTTTTCATAAAAAATACTTCCACCATCAATAAAAGCCATGGCCAAACTATAGTCTTGTTGAGTTGTTCTTTTTTTTTTTTGTGGAAAACAGAGCGCAGAGGGGCGCTCTAACCCTTAAACATTAATAAAGCGAGGGGTTTGAACCTCAATCAAATCAAAGTACAACCATTGACTAAGAGTCAGACTCGGGGTATCGAAGGTGTGGATCCCTATAGGAAGAGAATGGCCCAATGAGGCTAAGTAATCAGCAACAAAATTGCTCTCACGATAAACATGGGTAAGCTGGATCTCCCAATCTAATTGAAGCATTTGTCTCATCGTCACAATGAGCGTGCCATGGGGGCTTCACGTTGGGGCTGAATGAATTAACTAGATTGGTGTCATTGAGTCAGTCTACAAGACTATCTTCCTTACTCCCTCCTCCCATGCCATCCGAAGAACCCTAAACGATAATGTTAGCTCTGCGTGAGTGATAGAATTGCCTCCAAGGTTAACTGCAAAGGCCTCCAGAAAATGTATGTCGCTTCCTTGGAGAATTCCCCCATTGTAGTTCCCCCATGAGCCCCAAAAACTTATCTGTCTGTGTTTAAACAGAACCCGTCACTCGGTGGTTTCTACCAACTCACCATTTTCATATTGCATGCCATCCCTGCAGTAATGATCATCGATTGTCTGGACAAGGTCATCTCCACCTGCTGCTAAAGGATCTGAACATGCTTGACCAGCTGGGCGGGCTGGGTTGTCTTCTTCTCAAACACCCACAAGTTATTGTGCCAAAGTTTCCAGCAAAGAAGAGCTAACAGAGAGGGATGGTTGTTGCTGCTCCTACCTGCCAAGTAGAACAACGCCCCACTTGTTGACATCATCTTCAAAGAACGCATCATCTTGTTCATCCAATAGAACTTCCGACCAGGCATCTCAGGCAAAGTGATATGATCTCAATCGGATCAATCTTGAAGCTGGAATTGCTTGAGGAAGAAGGAAGTGGAGTTTGGAAGAAGAAGGAAGGAATTTGGCTAAGTGTTGGGTCAGGTTTGAGTTACCTACTTTGGGAGCTCATATCTCCCAAGCCATTCAATGAAAATGTGAGTTTGAGGGATCAATGTGATCTTCAAGCCTTTATAAGTCAATTGATAGGTCATGGGGCTCAAGGAGATGCCAGGAAGGATGTTTACCAAGCCTCACAAAATGCTATGGAGAAACCTGGAATCTGTCCAGATTTGACTAAGGCAGAAACTGTGATCAAGGTGCTACCTTTGAAGACCCATAACTTGAGTTTGGGAAATGAGTTCGAGCTGATTCAAGTTGGAGGATACAGAGGAAGTTTCCTTCTACAACGACAAGGGATTGGGTGAGATCGAATCATCTCGGAGGACTATTGTCGAGGGCTTCAAAGAAGCTATCTCGCACTGCCAGTAATCCGTGTCAAACAAGGATTCCCAATTCAATTCGGTTTATGTTTGTAATTTAGTTTCCTTGCTTAGTTAGGTTAATTTCAATCATTATTCTGGTTTGTTTGTAACTATGTAAGCCTATATAAAGGCCTCAAGCTCGTTTGTATGTTGCAGATTGCATTGAATAAGAAAAACCCCAAAATTGAACAACTTGCGAGTTGATTGTTGAGCTTAGGATTTGGTTGCGATCAAACCTAGGACAATTGAGTCTATTAGCTGAGTTTTTCACCCTCAGCTACTCGAAGGATGTTTACCAAGCCTCACAAAATGCTATGGAGAAACCTGGAATCTGTCCAGATTTGACTAAGGCAGAAACTGTGATCAAGGTGCTACCTTTGAAGACCCATAACTTGAGTTTGGGAAATGAGTTCGAGCTGATTCAAGTTGGAGGATACAGAGGAAGTTTCCTTCTACAACGACAAGGGATTGGGTGAGATCGAATCATCTCGGAGGACTATTGTCGAGGGCTTCAAAGAAGCTA